CTTTCTAACAGGAAGTCGAGCTGTCTGGATTTGACCGGGAAATTTAACACATGTTCTTAGCTTAGTGCACTTTACAACTTTGATACATTGTGTACAATTTCAGGTTTGGGTGACGCCTAAATTAGAATTCTTTTGTTAGGTTTGACCTTTGGGGGACGCCTAAATTAGAGGGACGCCTATATTAGAGTACTTACGGTATGTGTTCATTATGGTCCATTCCTCCTCGACGAACAAGTACATAAGTGAAAATTTAGTCAAAGACGAGAAAACTGCAGAAGAAATTTGCCTTATTTACACGTATCGGCAATGCAAGCTGCCATGCGACTTCCCCTTCTGACGTCACAAGGGGAATTTCTGTATGCAAATAAGAAGCTAATGAGGAGCCTCGTTTTAAAATACACAAAAATAAAGTTGCCGCAGATTGAGTTTAAAACACATTTTTTCACTTACAAAAATAATTCATGCTTAGAAACATAAAAAATAATAATATTTATGTATCAATGGATAATTGTAGGCGTGAAAATAGCAGCCATTTTACAGGCACTTTAATTGACAAATCACAAATAGTGTACTTGCACATCTTTGTCCCCCCCTATATTTCGCCTAAATTGATGAATCACATATCATGTACCATCATGTTTTCTTAAAAAGTAGTAAATACTTCTTAAATGATCAGATCTCCAGATAGACCCAAATTTACTGTTTATTTTAAAAACATTGTGCCATTTTTTCATTAAAATCAATGCCAAGGGATCGTATTGCAACACTTATAAATTACTGCTGTGTTATGTTGTGTTGTGTTTACCATCTGACACTCGTGAATTCTCAAATATGTTAAGCTGGCACCATCCAGCATTCTGATTGGTTAACAACCGACTTGACCTTTCAGGTCAACTCCTGCATGTAACAAATATAATGAATATTATTTCACATCAAGTGTTTGTGTGCGACCAAAAACATCTGGTAAGACTGAAAATAAGATGAACTGTACATGCATTTCATAGTAAACAGAAGAATTAATATTTTGTATGGTATTATAATCATGATTGAGTAATAAACGTTTTTAACTCAAAATAAAATAAGTCTGTGAAATAATGTGATCGATTTAACATGACTGTGATGTTTTGCTGCTAAACCAATCTCCCTAGGAGATGTACCATCACCCCCCCTGTATCTCCCAAAAATGACAAATGAAATATCATGTACTATCACTGTTTTATTTTCAGAATTATCACTTTCATCATCTGTGACCGTAATTTTGTATTAACTTTTGTTCTCTTTGACAATTTAGGATGTTGACTTGAATCACAGTCGAATCAGTAAAATAGAACATATGGATGTCTTGGAGAAAGTAGAGGTAACTATTTTATTTTTTGAAGTTATTTGTTATATAATATATCTCAAAAATCCTAGTACAACCAAGTGGGTTTGCATGAGAGAATGAGGCAACTAATTAGACAGCCGATTAAGCAAGTTGTCATCTCAATACCAAATTAGTGTTTATAAATATTAGCTCCATTAATAGTGTTTACATTAACAATAGATGAGAGTCTGGTCAAAACAAATTATATTAACTTAATAATAAAATGTGTAATATTTATTTTTCGTTTACTTCTATTGGAGATGTGTTTCTCATAGAACAAAGTAGGTAAAGGGTTTTCCACAGTGCATACAAGTAATTTTTATGTTTTCTATTTTTTGCAATTTTATTCTGAACCCGTTTATAACCTGTGTATGAAAATATAAATAATTCATGAAATATTTAAAAAAAAATTTAAATGACAATAATAGTTACTTTATACAGTAAGCGTATGCCAGACTGTATGCTGTTGTCAGTGAAAATTTAATCACTGATTTATCTTTATTTATCCTGGTAAGTCAACATTGTACCGAAGATGTACAAAAAAATAAAACAATGACTCAGCAAGCTTATGTCAGTCTCGCAAAACTCCCCCCCCCCCAAATCCCTCAACATTTCAGGGTAGCGCAACCTTGGGGGCGCTGTTCACCACATTGAATAATGATTCATCTGTATATGTTTTTTTTCAGACCTTGTGTTTCCGGCAGAATTTACTTACAAAGATTGAGAACCTGTCATGTCTTAAAGACACCATAACTGATCTGGATTTATATGATAACCAGATTACAAAGATTGAAAATTTAGAAGCACTCACTAAGCTGACGTAAGTGTCATATAATATCTGTTATTTTTTCAAAAAGATTAAAAAAAAGAGTTGAAGAATTACAAACAGTGTGTAATTCTAGAAAGAATGTTTTCCTGAAAAGGAGAATCAATGATATGTAATCTTGTATTAAGGTAACAAATATTAAATGTGAGGTGAAAAACAGGAAGTAGTTCCGTTATATGCAAATCACATAGGCCTGGTAGGCATATGCAAATTACATAGGCCTGGTAGGCATATGCAAAATATATTGACCTGGGAGGCATATGTAAATTACATAGACCTGGTAAGCATATGCAAAATATATTGACCTGGGAGGCATATGCAAATTACATAGGCCTGGTAGGCATATGCAAAATATATTGACCTGGGAGGCATATGCAAATTACATAGGCCTGGTAGGCATATGCAAAATATATTGACCTGGGAGGCATATGCAAATTACATAGGCCTGGTAGGCATATGCAAAATATATTGACCTGGGAGGCATATGCAAATTACATAGGCCTGGTAGGCATATGCAAAATATATTGACCTGGGAGGCATATGCAAATTACATAGGCCTGGTAGGCATATGCAAAATATATTGACCTGGGAGGCATATGCAAAATCTGGGCTCTCTCTGGAATTTGCTAGGTAATAGTAAATTTA